TCACTGAAGTACCATGAAACACTACAGTTACTACCTGTGAACAGACAGAAAGTCATATATATTAGATACTTGGCTAAAGATATTAATGTCGCAGCACCAGACAGTTGTTCTTCACATAGAATTTTGATGAAGTATCTATCAAAATGCTCTAATTTAAACTGTATGATTAAAAAAAACCCTACAACATATTTTCTTAGTCTGAGAAAATACATATAACCAGAATTATATTTTGTGTTGTTTGAACATGCTTTGAATGAAAGCACAGGGTTAGCATAGCAGATATGAAGGCAACAAAACATATCTGATTCCAGAAAAAAGTGCTTTGATTGCAATAAAGATTACTTTTGCAGTAATCTTTTTCTACTTCGAAACTGAAGACATAGTTGCCTCTCATAGATGAAACTAATGACTCTGCAGGCAGCCACAAAAGTCTATATGGGATCTCAGAGAGACTGGTTTGGTGAACAAGGCAGTAGTTCTCTCCAGAGGAATTAATTTTGATATGCATGTCTTTCATCACTGCTCATCAACCATGATACACATTCATTTTGCCAAGCTCCAAAGATGTATGGATAGATTTCTGCAGAATCATGAAAAAACACTATGCACTTTACCTCCCAGTCCAACCTATAATAGCAACAAAAGTGAGCAGTGACCTGCATAGTGCAGGCATGCAGGACAGGCTAGTAACCCAGTGCTTGGGCTCATTACTGAAAATAGAATGGAGGAACGAGACATCACAGACAACAGGACAAATGGGAAGGCTAACAGAGGCCCCTCAAAGTAGAGTGTCTCATGCCTACATTGGTTAATATTTGTAAGGATTGATTCACTCAAGTTTATTGAATCCACTTACATTTTGCACTAGCCACATGACAAAGACCAGAGGCAAACTCAGAGCAGTCACTGTACCATTAAAATTTATAGTATGGAACATTTCTTGTGTCTTCCTGAAAGTAGGAACAGGTTGATGCTTTCCATTTTAAGTGGAAAAAACGTGTTACATACACTGTTACTTCCTACAACCAAAAGAGCCCATTTGATTATTTTGTGTGTATCTGAATTCTGGCTGAGATACCGACTAATTTTCATGCTCTCCCATAATGCTCATGTAACATTTGGGATGAAGATGGAAGCCTGTATGCCACCTTATATATTTGCTTTATCTGGTAACAGTTGCACGATGAACACATTGTATAAAGGTTTCTGGGCAGAAGCACCTGCATCACCTTTGGTTACCACAAATAACTATTACTAGAATGTTAATAATGGCTGCAAACCTTTCTGGACAAGCTAATCTCTCATCTGCAAAAACTAGACAAGGGAAATATAGGCAACAAGGAAAAAAGCACAGATAATTTTTTTTTCATGCTACTGATAGTAATTAACATTTCTCAAAAATAATTACTAAAATGTAAGCTCTCATTCTCGTAACCACTCCTCTTCAACGAATCCTTACTACTCTGTCACATCTCATTAATCATGAAAGAGCTCTGCCTGTGTAAGCAAACCTTAGCAATTAAGGTCCAAGCAACCAGACTTTCAGAGCACAGGCATTATAATGTTCTACACTTTGGTGAGCAATCTTTTGAAATTACCTGCTTCATTTGAAAGAAGCAAACCACTTATGTTCTTTCTTATGCTTATATATTAGCAGGTCTCACCTAGTATTTTTTTTAACACAGTACCTATTAGGAAACAGAAGTAACAAAGTTTCATTACCTTCTAATTAAAAGTTACAGTGTCAGCATGGACCAGAATGGCTCAAAATTGGAATAAGAAAATCCACCTGCATGAACTGAAATAAACAGTTGTATGAGTGAGCTAGAGATTTTTTCCTTAATAGTGTTGCTTCATTAGCAGAGGCATTGTGAAAGTTTCCATTAAGATTATAGCTTTAGGGCATGCTCACCAAGAAAAATTTAGAAAACACTCTATAACCATACCCCAGAAACACAAACCAAAAGGAAAATAAGGGTTTGCTTTGAGGAAATTCCAAAGTGAACACCTAAGTATTTCTAGCTGTCCACACACACACAGTAAGCTGCACTCCCACCAAATGCACATACCTCACAAGGTTTTAGGAACCTTAAGCCTTTTTTCCTACATGCATCTTCCTTCTTTACAGAGCTACCCTAGCTCCAGCGCAGCCCCACCTTCCTGCAGGCAAGGCTGCACCACAGTCTATACAGAAACAAGGATAAAATAGGGTTCCACAGTTGCAAGCGTTTACTTGCTATCTTTGTGATCTACCTTTGCTACTCCTCCTCCAAATAGTCAAGCTAAGTAGTTTTCTAAGTACCTGACAGCAATTTGGATCTTCACAGTTTGATTTCTAATACATGCAGTTAACATGTTAAAAAACTCCTTTTTTTTTTTTTTCAGAAGAATCAAACTACAGATTTACGTGCCTAAGTTTTGGAGCTAATACAGGCATCCATTTTTACCTTTTTTTTCCCCTCAAACATAGCCTGAAACTTCACAAGGGTGTTGTAACTTCTTATACCTGACTTATTCTGTGGCTTTTCTAAGTGGGTATTTGAAATCTGTTATCCTGGTGGCTGTGTGAACACAATAAACATTCATATTTCCTACATGATGTACAGGAAAGCGAAAGTGATAAATAAACAAGACACAACATGCAATGTGCCCTTGTAGCTAAGAAGGCCATGTTAGAACAGTCCAGCACTATTTTCAACAAAACACCTTTCTTCCCATAAGGGTGACTGATCACTTAACAGGATATTCAAAAGCTAGCTAGACACAGTCCTGAATAACCTGCTCTAGCTGACCCTGTTTTGAGCAGGTCGGTTGATTGACCATGGCCAGAGGCATCTTTCAGCCTCAGACATGCCATGGTTCTAAATTGCTCAGTTTTAAACTCCTGGGAGCACAGTCAGGAATTCACAGAGGAATTCCAGTTCCAATTCAGCACTAACTCCACTATAAATCAGGCTCTCAAGACATGAAAGTGGTTATAATCTGATGGCTCTTCTGATAGATTTTTCAAACCATGCTACACAGCACCATCTTCTGGTGACCAAAAGTTAACCATGGCAAGCATAATTTCCAAGCAAGAAATAGTAATGTTAAGTTTTAAAAGAAGATATTTAAAATAAGCAACTTCTATAAGAAGTCACCATTTTTTTTTTATTAACCCACTATCCCTAGAAACACACAAAGTGAAAAAATATCCTTTAAAATGTCTTACACTTTTGATGAAGAGGACCAGGCATCAACCTTGCACACATTTCTGCAAATAAAAAACCCAAAAATACACATTTTTTATACAATAAACAATGAAACCTCAACGCACACATTGTTCTTCTGAGCTTGCATATGAACCCTTGATTACAAAGTGCAAGTCTGCTTTCTGGAAGAGCTTTTGGATAAGCTTTGGAATACGGGAAGTAAGAACTGTTGCACTTGTTCTGGCATAAGCCCAAACCCATACCCATGAAATATACAAGTGTGCTGAGTAGACCATGAACACCCCCTTGCTCAAACTGAGTTTACATGAGCAGGCCTCACACAACTGCACAGGCTAGAGTTATTACTTGGAAAATAAGCCACTCTAAGTACTCTTAAGTCCTGCTTGCTGCTAGCTTGCTACACTAGCAAATAGACTTAACAGCATCCTATTTCCTTTTCATTTATTGAATTTTCCAGCCAGAAGAAACCAGTCAATATTTTGATGCAAGTTACGCAATTATGCAATCACTGTTCAATTAACTTTGCTTTCTTGCACAACTGACTCAACTAGCAACAGGCAGACTTGGTATCCAGTAGTTTCGTAGGTTTGCATGCAAGCATTTTTAACAAGGCTAAGAAAACAGAACAAAGGAATGAATACATGAAATAGGAAAACTGTAGACCAACCAGGAATACTTAGGAATAAAGAAAAGGCTGTTTCCTTGCTTTGTTTACCATGTAAAGTGCAGTTTCTCACAACAGTATACATAAAAGCTTTTATTCCAATGTAGTAGCACTAGTATAGCCAAAGCACAGTAAGCATATAGGATTTTGGCTGGTTGTTGGTTTGGGGCTTTTTAATACAACCAACATTTGAGAAATAAATCATAGAATAGAATCACAGAATAGTCTGAGTTGGAAAAGACCTTCAAACATCAACTACTTCAGCAAGCAGGGACATTTTCAACCAGACAAGGTTGCCCAGAACCACATCCAGCCTAGCCTCGGATGCCTCCAGGGATGGCACATCCACCACCTCTGGGCAACCTGTGCCAGTATTTTACCACCCTCATTGTAAAGAATTTCTTCCTCATGCCCAGCCTTAATCTTCTCTTTTTTAGTTTAAATCATCATCCCTTGTCCTATTGCAACAGGCCCTGCTGAAATCTCATTCTTACAGACTTCTTTTAAGTACTGAAAGGACACAATAAGGTCTCCCTAGAATCTTCTCCTGACTAAACAACCCCAACTCTCTCAGCCTTTTGTCATGGAACTGCTCCAACACTCTGCCCATTTCAGTGGCCCTTCTCTGTTAAGATTCACCAGCCTAGCACTATTTCCAATACAAGGCAGCACAGGCAGGACACCAGCTGGACACCACCACCTCAACTTTGTTTCCACGGGGGCAGGGTGAGGCTGAGGGGCCGGCAGCTGTACAAGCTCACCTGGGGCACCACATAACTTGAGAACTGAGGAGCCTCATAGCTCCCAGGAACAAGTCCACACCTGAGCCCATCTGATGGAGCGCTGGTGCCCAAACCAACCGTGGCACAGGGCTTGAGAAGGTTTTCAGAAGCACCCGAGGACCCCAAAGCGCGGACACTACCCCGCCCGCGCTGCCGCTACCTCACGGCTTCCTGCTTCCCGCCGCGCTCCTTTTAAAGGCTTCGGTGACGTCATGGCCGAAACGAGCGCCAGTTAGACGCGCCGTTGCTCCGCCCCCGGTGGGTCTTTGGGGGTGGTGCCGATAGATGGAGGCCAGGCGGGGAGGGGGTGGGGGGTGGTAGTGCGCAGGCGCACAGCGGAGCGTGGTCGGGCCGCGGGCGGGCGGGCGGCAGCCGGCGGGGTGTGGGGCGGGCACTCAGATGAGCAGGCGCTGCCCGCCGGCCGCGGCCTCGTTGCTGCGGGGGCTAGTCGGCCCCGCTGTTCTCTGCCTGGGCAGGAGCATGAGTCTCTGCGGGGCGCCGGCCGCCTGCGCCGCGGGGCCTGCGGGTGCTGGTGGTGGTGGCAGTGGCGGCAGCGGCGCGGGGTTCTCCTCAGCGCGGCTGAGCCCGCCGTGGCTGAGGCTGCCTCAGGTGCCGGGCGCGGAGCCGCACCGGGCTAACGAGTTGCTGCTGCTGCTGCCGCTGGCCCCGCGCGGCTCGGCCCCGCCGCAACAGCATCACGTTGTCTACTTCCCGGGAGACGTGCAGGTACGGCAGGGAGGGCTGCGGGCGGTAAGCGATGGCGGGCGGGAGCGGAGAAGCGGCGCTGCTGGGGATCCCGCGGCGGGTAGTCAGAGGCTTCCCTAGGGAAGCATCTCTGGGCGCTCGCTGCTCGTTACCGTTGGGTAAATGTAGCGGAAATGAGCCGTTCTTGAAGCCTGAAACGCATCAGCAATTGGAGGGGAGTCGTCTTCTATGGTATTGCTTGAGATTGACATTTCTGGCGATGATGGCGGTATCTGAAAAGGTGTCAAAGAGCATCAGAGGAAAGACAAATCCTAAAATGGCAAGTTCTTCTCATCAGGTTTAGCACGTCGTCTCTGTGCAGGCGTACAAACATCCCAGGCACCATCCTGCGGTATTTCATGGGCGCTGTTGCTTCCTCAGTGTGTCCTGAAGGCACGTGTTGTCTCTGAGTTGACAAGTAGGAGACTCTGAAGTGCTGTCACTAAGCATGTGGTTGACCTCTGTAACATACATACTTTGGAGAGTCAGCTCATCTCACAAGTCATTACTGCTCAAAAGCAGGGGTTAGTGCCTTTTTGTTCTAGGGAAAAACCTTTCCTTTTCAGTAAGGTAAATGTGCAAAACTTAGTAGTAGATTTTCATTTTAAGGCTTGGGGTGGCCTAAGAAAACCTTTCTGATTTTCATTCCTGGGTATGGCTTTATTCCTTAAGAAAATAAATCAATTGGTATTCTCTGCCATTATGAATACAGAGGTGAGGATCATTCATAATCTGGGAGTTAATTTCTTTCCATTTATGCCCCATATGGATGTGAACAGTAAAGATTCCCTATAGATGAATAAGAGGATTTTTTTTTTTTAATGTATATAAAAGATAGAAACTTTTTGCAAAGTTTTAAGTCTATTGTTTGTTAAGATAATCAGTGCTCAGGAAGAGCTAATACAGCAAAATTATGTATTCTATGTCACAATAAGCTGAATAATACTTTAATCTTCTCTTGGAGTGAAGTAAACAAAAATAATGAATACCTCCATGTGCTCATTTTTATTGCATTAATATTGGGGTGTTAAAAATACATGCTAATAAATATTAAAGTAGAATAAGTAAATCTAAGTATGACAGTTTCTTTAATGTGTTTCTTAGTCTGGAAGCGTAGCAAGCGAGCTCCTCTCTAATGCACATTTCTCTGTTAGTTGCAGTCCTTTCTTATGCATGTAAGTACACTGGACAGAGCTGAAGTATTTTCACAGTGTAGTAACATCTTGTATTCACTTTTTCAGAACTATCATGACGTCATGTCTTGCCACCCAGAAAACTTTCAGTGGGAGCACTGGAGTTTTGAAAACGTTGCGACCATACTTGCCCGACGGTTCCCTAATAGCTTCATTTGGGTTGTAAAATGTTCTCGAATGCACCTGCACAAATTCAGTTGTTATGACAACTTCGTGGTGAGCAACATGTTTGGAGCACCAGAGCACAGCACAGACTTTGGAGCTTTCAAGCATCTCCATGCATTGCTAGTTAATGCATTCAGACTCTCTCAGAATATTCTGCTGTCCCAGAAAAGCATGCATGGTGTCAGCAAGGATGCAAAAATAGCTGCTTGTAAATCACAGCCGCAGTCTGTTCCTACAACAAATGGTGGCTCATCCACGGGAAGAGAGAAAGATTGTGAATGCTCTAATAATTCTGCTATGAACTTCATTGTACCATCTGCTGTAGGTGCAGCATCATTTACTTTGATTGGCTTCAGTAAAGGTTGTGTGGTTTTGAACCAGCTACTTTATGAGCTGAAGGAAGCTAAAAAAGACAAGAATACAGATGCCTTCTTAAAAAACATAAAAGCAATTTACTGGTTGGATGGTGGTCACTCGGGAGGAAGCAATACTTGGGTTACTTACCCTGAAGTGCTGAAAGAACTTGCGGAGACAGGAGTTGAAGTTCATGCTCATGTTACGCCATACCAAGTGTTTGACACAATGAGGTCATGGATTGGGAGAGAGCACGAGAAATTTGTACAGATACTTGAAGGATTTGGTGTAGAAGTAAATGATCAACTACATTTTGCTGATGATGATCCCTCCTTAGATAACCATTTCAGAGTTCATGAAGTATTTTGAAACTTTATGTATCTGAATAGTGTATTCATTGTAAAAGCACTTTTAACATTGTAAATGTTTTCACCTAGATTTGCAACTTTGTGCAGATGCTTTCTGAAGAGAATATTAGATCAGTCCTGTGTTGCTGATAGATACTATATATAAATTTCAGTAGTTTAAAAGGGAGGTTCGGACCCCATATCTACAACAGATGTTGTCACTTATTCCTAGAAAATATGTTATGAAGAACTATCCTATACATGGTTGGGTTTTTCTGTTAAATGTGAACATTTATTCTGAAGCTATTGGCAAAATTTTTAGTCTTGGATGTCTAATGTTATATACTGCCTTTAACGGTAGTTTGAAGTACTCAAGCCCTTCAAATTTTGGAATACTTCAGTTTAGTATTAGGGTTAAAAGCTTTGCTCTTTGTCAATAACAAATGTGAGGTTAGGTTTTTGGCTTAAGGAAAATTATAATTGTTAGAGCTTGTTAGAATCTTAGTTATATACTTTGGTGAAAACTTATAATTAGTTAATTAAATCTTCCAGTTTTGTAACATTTCTCCTAATTGAAACAAAGTCACAAATATTTACCTCTGGAATAATAGTGCCAATCCGTTTTAATTCCTTATGCGTGCCTTCCCTTTTCTGTTGCTATAAAGCTCCATTAATTCATTGTATTTATGTTCTAGTGATAGTCATGTCACCTGGAGGCTTGAAAATTTTGACGTAGCTATATTAAGTGACCAAGAATGCTGATGAGTGCGTGGCTTATTGCTGTTTCAACATACCTTGCTATTGCTTTGACTAACTTCTCAAAGGACCAGCAGTAATATCTGTATTTTCATGTCAAGAGGTGTCCTTACCCCTGCATTGGACTGATGAGGTTTTCCTTGCTAATGATTGCATTGATGTTGATCTAAATCGAGCTGTAAGAACTTCACATATTGCAAGTCGCATAAAAAAAATTTAGACTGTGTTGACTGTAGCTGTTTCACAATGCCTTGTTTTTTTAAACTATTATCTCCTTTAAATGTACTGCATTAGTTGCTTCTAGAGCCACACAAAAATCTATTTTCAGAGCCTAATTTTCATACAGGAAAAAAATAAACCTCTAATTAAACACAAAGCTGGACTAATCAGATACAAAAGATGCAGTCTATTTCAGGCCCCAAACCTGCATGTTCTTTAGAAAGAATTACTGAAAAATGAACAAATAAACTAGTGGAACTTTTCTACTGTTTTTAAGTAACTTTCCAGTTATCTACAAATAAATTTTATAATAACTCTTAAAGACAGCTGCAGCTATTAACAGTGAACAGCTTAAAATGGTTTTGGATTTGCTGAAAGTGTAGGAATACAAAACACCGTGAAGATTACACAAACTATTGTGGTTCAATTACAAAAAAAGGCATTTTATTCACTTTGCTCCTATGTTTGATGGCTTAGCAACCTCTTCCCCTGCTTCTTGCTTCCTGTGACTCTTGCACTGTGGGAGGAAAGTCCCGAGTCATTTTTCTTCTATTGGCATCATTAAAACTTACAAGGTTCACTGGAGACAGTGTTTTCACAACTCTTGCAGAGGTTGCATGCCTCTTTGTTCTGTATAGGAAATATGGGTGACCTAACAAAGTGTTTTAATGGGAAGCTTACAAATAGCTTGAAATATCTTTAATTATCCACTTATAAAATAAACTTAAAAAAAATAACAACAAACCCCCCAGAACACACCACTGATCTAGCTCCCCTCTCAAACCGACCAGACTAACTTGGGTATGCTAAAACTTGCCCTGTCCAATAACAGTGCAGATCATAGACCAGTTTCTAAACAATTCTGTGCCAGCCAAAACAGCAGGAGTAGGTTGGTGCAAGCTTTTGGAATCAGCTATTAAAATATTGACATTGTCTTCAGAAGTTTCTGGATGTCTGCCCTACGAAAATATTAACCTGTTTGATGGAGGCTGCTTACAATAACTGTTAAATAAGCTCAAGTGGTGTTGTATTAATTTGAAGAATAAGCACTTTGTTGTGAACCTAATCTTGTTGTGAGATCTCATGTTGTGGAGGGAAAACTGACCAGTTGTTTTTCATTCTCTAAACAGTGGTAGTACTCTGTTGGAATGTGCCTCTGTCATTCACTACAAAGCATGCTAATAATAACTTTTGCAAACAATGTAGAAAATAAACTACTTCTGATGGGTGAAACCACTTTGATGTGAATGCAAAGCCATTAAGGAATGTGCAGTTAAATTTCATGGATTAAGCTTTATCAGGTGTTACACAAACCTAGATTAAAAAAAAATCAGATTTGTTAGCTTTTCTTCAAGGAAGAAAAGTGTTTGTGTGGCCAGCGTCTGTAACTCTGCAACAACTTACTGGCATCTTGTGTACTTGGAAAAGCTAGAATGAAGTATCCATGAGTGTGAGCATTTCTATGTTAGGATGAAATGGGTCATAGTCTGTATATCCCTGTTTCTGAATGTTAACTGTAAAGGCAGTTTTTAATAAGCTTAGATGCAAATACCTGAAGTTCAGTGATTCAGTATACAGAGATTTAGTTCAAGACATTTCTGGTTCTGAACAGAATGAGTGACATTACACAGTCCTTCATACAACCTAGTTTGTAATAGCTGGTATTCTTCATACTACATACTTGTTTCTTGTACAACAGACAAGACACTCTTAGATTTTGAGGAAAGCTGAAATGTTTTAAGCTGTACCTGTTAAATTTCTTTAAAACAAGGCTTGATTCTGTGAAATTCTTCAGATTTCTATATAACTTATTTGATTTTATTTTGTGTGCGTCTGAAATACTAGAAATTTTGGTAACCTTCATATCTAGGACTAATTTAATAGCATCTGTGTAAATGCTGCTGCATAAATCAGTATTTGCCTCTAATTCTGAAAGGTGATGAAGGGTCCAAGTCTTAACATATTGCTGAAAGGACCCATCTCTTCTGTCCTCCCATCGCTAACATTCTGCTGCCTCCCTTATGTTAGCACAAGCACTTTATGGTTAGCTTACCATGTTCTACCTTACTAAGTTATTTGTGCTGATGGATATAACTAGCAGGAGTGGTGTGTATTTAAACAGGCATAGAAATTATTTTAAATAAGTCTGCTAAGTCAGTTTGGGAGTTAGAATGTTACAACTGTGGCTATTTACAGCTAAAAGTGGTTGTTCATGATCATGCACTCAGATTTTCCCAATAGGTTCTCTTTGAGCTATTTGCAGAAAGAAAATGCTTGGTTTTTCTTCCCTCTTAGGGTGCTTCATACGATGGTGTCTTTCCTAAGCTAACAGTTCTTTCATCTCTGCAGATAAGTAATATTTGTTGTCTCGTATAGACTGAAAGTTGAAGCACCGAGGTTAAAGTATACCCATCCACTTACCTTGAATGCACATTTAAATTACATGGGGTCTTACCAGTTAATACAAGAAAGTAGTTAAAGAACAGTAAAAATTCTGAGGTGTGTGCTGTGTTGTGAGCCACATTTTTAGGTCAGCAGAGTTCACAAACACGAACTCTGCCTGGCGTCCCTGTGCAATATAAGAGCCCATGTCTCAGACTTGCAATCCAGACAAGAGAGTGCTTCAAATCACCTTTGCAGTTACTTCTTCACACTGTTTTTAATCTTACATTGAAATACAATTCACTTTTGTGTGGATGGTAGATTAAAAAGAAAAGTTTGCTTCTGGTGCTCACAACCTGATGAAAATTTAGACACGTTTAAATACTGCTGATAGAGACCCTAAGACCAAAGTTGGCTTTCTGTTGGTCTTCTTGATCTCTTAATTCTGTTCAGATGAAAGGTAGAACCATAGAATCGTTAGGGTTGGAAAGGACCTCAAGATCATCTAGTTCCAACCACCCTGCTGTGGGCAGGGACACCTTACGCTAAATCATATCACCCAAGGCCTCGTCCAACCTGGTCTTGAACACTGCCAGGGATGGAGCATTCACAACCTCCCTGGGCAACCCATTCCAGTGCCTCACCACCCTAACAGGAAAGAATTTCCACCTTATATCCAATCTAAACTTCCCCTGTTTAAGTTTTAACCCGTTACCCCTTGTCCTATCACTACCGTCTCTAATGAAGAGTCCCTCCCCAGCATCCCTATAGGCCCCCTTCAGATACTGGAAGGCTGCTATGAGGTCTCCAAGCAGCCTTCTCTTCTCCAGGCTGAACAGCCCCAACTTCCTCAGCCTGTCTTCATACGGGAGGTGCTCCAGTCCCCTGATCATCCTTGTGGCCCTTCTCTGGACTTGTTCCAACAGTTCCATGTCCTTTTTATGTTCAGGAGACCAGAACTGCACACAATACTCCAGGGGAGGTCTCACAAGAGCAGAGTAGAGGGGCAGGATCACCTCCTTCGACCTGCTGGTCACGCTCCTTTTGATGCAGCCCAGGATACGGTTGGCTTTCTGGGCTGCAAGCGCACACTGAAGCCAGCTCATGTTCATTTTCTCATCAACCAACACCCCCAAATCCTTCTCTGCAGGGCTGCTCTGAATCTCTTCTCTGCCCAACCTGTAGCTGTGCCTGGGATTGCTCCGACCCAGGTGTAGGACCTTGCACTTGGCATGGTTAAACTTCAGAAGGTTGACATCAGCCACCTCACAAGAGTGTCAAGGTCCCTCTGGATGGCATTCCTTCCCTCCAGGGTATCAAGAACCACACAGCTTGGTGTCATCGGCAAAAAAAAGGTGACTGTTTTTAACTCAAATAAAACAACATGAAGTCATTAAGCCAGTAATGCAAAATCATGTAACACCTATGTGGCAGACAGACACTGCTTCTCCCAGTGCCAGGCATACAGTTCCTAACTAAATTAATTCTATCAGTATTAGCAGCATAATTCACTCCTCCCTCTGACAAAAAAAAACACTTGCACAGGATTAGCTGTTCCACATCACTTCAGAAACCGTGGAAAACTGATTCAGGCAGTCATTTTGCATGTAATGTACTGTGGGTTATAAAGTAGTGATGGCTTTGTTGTTGTTTCCTGCCATTAGGGCTTCATTATATGTTTCTAACTGACTCAAGGAATGCCAAATTCTACTTAACCGAATTACCAGAAAAGCATCTGGCAAAACAAAAGGGAAAAATAAATCATCTGTTTTTTACTTCACGTGTATAAACATCTCATGTACTTGAAAAGGGGCAGAATGCCATCACTCTAAGGTTCAGAATAAATATTCTGTCTTTCATTAAGCTTTCAGAGAGCACTTTGAGTCACAACTGTTAGTTTGCTTTGTTAATCTTGGCACTTCAGAGCTGAGTTGTTTCTAAAGAAAGCTCTGCTGCAAGACACAGAAAACAGTCAAGGGTCATAGCAGTGCTGAAGTGCAAAACAAGGCTCTTTGTCTCTCCCACACCAGTTTACACTCTGAGCAATATTCCTAAGCCTGGGTATCAGATCAATCTATTCCATACCTTACATGCTCTCTGCATAGCCCTGATTCCCCATCATGAGAAATGCATTGATTTTGTGTGACTGAAGTTTTAAGCAATTCGTGCACTGCTTGACAGCTGAAATATGAATGTTTTCACAGCAAAAACTGTCCATAACTATGATCTGTGTTATTATTGCAAGCAATAGCTTCTGAGCTTTTTTGTATGAACACAGCATCGCATGTGGAGTTGCATGTTTTACATGGTTGAGCAGTTCTTTTAATGTTTTCAATCTGCTGTTAAAAATGTTGACTAGGAACAGATCTGGATCTGAACAATTGGAAAGGAAGTAATCCACGCTTGTTTCTCTTGGGAATCGCCACTTAAAAGAGATCATTACTCTCAGGAATTACCACACAGAGAGCTCAGAATCTATCCCCACTCCTAGAGCCTGACCCAGAGGAAAACAAGAAATCTTGTTTTGCACCACAAACTTAGGTAACTGTCAGAACAGATCCAGTATTTCATCCATCCTTCTAGAGCACTGGAATCTTTGGTTATTGAGTGACAGTAACAGAGAATCTCTTGTAAAAGTTACTGTCTCAGAATATCTGTCTTCAACACCTGTGTTGTCTGCATGGAGACATGTAAGTCTCTGGCTTGGAAAGATACATTTTGGTCAGAGGAAATGAATCATGAACCAGGACAAATTCGGCTGAGGCCTCCCTGCCCATAACAGGGGGTTGGAACTAGATGATCTTAAGGTCCTTTCCAACCCAAACCATTCTGTGATTCTGTTATTCTCACAAGCTGAGACGTAAGTGGATTGCTCATACACTGACTGCTGCTCCATCAACTTTCCTTATTTATACGTGAATGTTGAGGGGTGCTGAGAACACCAAGCCAGGACCTCTGTTTTGGGAATGGAACATTAAGAAATAGCAGAATGAGGGATCGGTACAGTACTTCCCTGTACTAGCATATTGAGAAACTGCCAGTGGTTAGAGTTTAAAGGGGTAGCTATTCAGGCACAGTGCTGGAACACAGCTTTGTCTAGCCCTGGAGGCTCTCTGAGTCTCTCCATTCAGTCCTAACACACAAAGAATATGCTCTGTACACCTCTGCAATTCAGATGGGGCCCTCAATATTACCGGTACAACAAAGCCAAGAGGCTTCCCCAGCCTAACAGCTTCTGTCTCAGCAGTATGCACAAACAGTCCTTGTTTGGTTTAGAACAAAAATTTTGGGAGACCTATTTGTGATCCCAAATTTAAATTCTACCCTCAGAACATACAATGATGCCCATCTGAATCGCTTGGCTGGTTCCATTCAAGCCTATTCATTAAGATGGCCGGGTGCCCATTCACATGGTAGCAGACTATTTTCACTGTGTTGAACTGCCAAGAAGAACAGGTTTAGAAGAATAATCTGTACAGTGTTGCAGTCTCCAGCTCTTCTGCATAAAGATATTTTTCCCATCACTTTATTAACATACCAATTTAGTCTAAGAGCTGACAAGTTACAGTTCTCAAAAAACACTACTAGAATAACCAACTGACCTAAGTCAGATAACTGTTGCATGCCCCAAACATCACAAGTAACATCAGAGGTATTTCAAAGGGACAATTACTATCTTTTCTGTGATATGCCCATCTTTATTTCATAAGGCTTTCATAAGCACCACAATCTGCTGAAAAGTAACCATCTACAACGCCTGTACAAAAGGCTCCATCCCAAAAGGTATCATGCAACCCCCTTTCATATGATAATAGAATGTATCTTAAAAACTTCCCCAAGAGATTCTACATCTACTCCATAACTAGGAACTTAATTTCATATTTTAGCACTGTAGCTGTATGGATTTGGGGGCACATAAGATCCAAGTGTTTCACAGCTGCAGAAACAGCAATGCCACCTGACTGCACTGGGAAAGGGATAGACAAGGTTTCCTGCATAATACATAATTCAGCTAGGAAAGGAGTAAATCATTTTACCTTGAAGTCAAGCTGCTGCACAATTCCAAGCTTAGCCTTGCATGACTAGCTTTTGCTTTTTTCCCCATGACCACCCAGTTTCACCACAAGGGGGAGCAGAAACCCCCCGTTACTACTAGGTAATTACTCAAAGAAACCATGAATTCGAACAAACCACCACCAATTGGCTTTCTCAGACCTCCTCAGAAACCACTCTGACTTTCCTAAACTTTAGTAAATGAGATAGCATTCAGGAAGACGTGAAGTTACTTCTAAGCATACATGCTGTCAGCCCAGCCCAGATACCAAAACTGTCATTAAGAAAAATATAAGTAGAACACTCCGTAGAAGTAGAGTTGTACATTCAGGCACTGAAATACATGCCTCCTTGTAGAGGACAGACCAACTCCAGACCAAGCAGACTGTGCACACACTGAACATGAGGAAAAATGAATTAAAAAGTCTACCAGATAAACTTTGTTATAGATGAATGTTTATAAACACAGTTCTCATTGGTCTTGCAGAAAGCTTATGTATGTACATATGGACAGTTTCCGTATTAGCATGCAATTTTCTACTTTCACAGGAGCTTGCTGAATTAAAATGTGTTTTATCCATTATCATTCCTGTAGGCTTTTTCTTGGATGCGTAACACCATTCTCCGAGCATAAAAATCCCTATATTCCTCAGGTAGTTCTTCGAGTGTTTTCAAGGCCCTGTCCAAGATCTGTATAGCTCTAGAGGCTGCAGTAGGATCTTTATTCCCGTAAGTGTCATTCTTATCATAGCAATCAGCAGGAAGGTGCTTCCAAAAGACATTCAGGGCCACTCCAAATTCCTCAGAAATTACATTGTGGAACCACAAAGCTGTAGGAAGAAGAATGTCTAAAGTTAAAACGACTATCTGAAACTTTCAAGTGACTTGTAACAAGTGTCAGAATCACCCAAACTAGATCTTGCTGAGGAAAGCCTCAAATGCTGTATTTCTTGTTTATTTGTAAATAGTCATCCCTGAGTATATTGCATTGTACCAAATTTAAGAAGTTCTTCAAGATATTCACATCAATCCATAACTTCACACAAAAGTAACAAGTGCCGAAGTATAAATACTCAAATATAAGCAAACCATAAGCATGTGTAGGATGAAAATAAGACATTTTCCCTGTTCACTCATCTCTACTTTAAATGCAGATATCTTTTCATAGATATAGTCCTTAACTTTGCACAGATTGTCCAAGCAGTAACACAAAACACAAGTGTCAGCCACATCACCCTATGAAACTATTTTTACTATGAGAAGATTAGCAACTTTCTACTATAAAAAGATTGGCAATTTGCATTCTGCTAATCTTTTCATAGTAAAGTTGTGAGGCTTTTCAATTGAATCATCATGGCTGTGGTAAGGAAGCAAAGACATTTTTGCCTCATCAAGTACATTTTAAAAAGAAATACGATATGGTATATTTAACCTATTTCAATTTTAAGCTAAGAGACTGAATGCCATGCTTATTGCAGTTTAGTTGCTTGTATGTGCTGAAGACATAGAAAAGCTTATTCTGAGAAATGAACACGAAGCTTTTTTCAGGTTTGGAGGAGGGGCTGCTTCTACCTTCTCCGTAATAATCACATACATTTCTCAAAAAGCATCTTTTTTCAGTGATATATATTCCAGAATGCTGACAAAGCAAGCACCGTTCTCTGGACTCAAAAATCCCTATTCTCCCCAGCCATTCTTAAGAATGCTGAATGTGTTTTAAGTTTGAACCAGCACATTTACTAGCAAAACCAAACTAATATCTGCATTGCATAGAACAAAGCAGAAATTATGTACGCTGACATTACCAACACTGACATACCTTTTGCTAACTGTAATCAAAAGTTTCTTTAGAAAGAATCATAAATGGTAAGTTCAAAATTAAGTAACAAGTCTAAGACAAAGAATATACCTTAAAACTTCCAAAAGATCTACTGTATTCTTGTTTACCATCCTGTTTTTGTTGTCCAGATAACATGAAAAGCAATAGAGTAAGTATCTGTCACAATCTCATAATGAGTCTAAATAAAAAATTAACAAGTAGGTGTAGTTCAATAAGAGTAATTCAGCTGCCTTTTCCTGATCACCAGAATTTCATCATCTTAGCCCAGGAAGCAGCTTTGCATTTTCTGCTTGTGTAGAAAAATGATTAAGACTTGTCCTTCCATCCACCGAAGGTGATTATAAATTCCTAGAAGGTCCAATAACTCTACCATCTGTAATCCTCATCAAATCATACACCTCACAGTTCTTAAATGCTAGGGCTTTAGAAGAACAGAAACAGTACTTCGCTCATTCTGCCATTAGAAAACCCAGGTCACTGAAATAATTTCAGATTTCACAAGTTGAGTTTATAGGGCTACTCTATTAAGACACAAATTCAGAAGCATACAGTGTAATCTTGAAGGAAGGTAAGCTTGTAGGTAGATAAAATAATACCTTTCATTAGGCTAATTAGTACAGTTAGTTAGAAGAAGTAGACATGTTTTGCCAATGGCTTTAGATGCCCCTACTTATAACACAGACATGCTTTAGTAGTGTCTTACCATCCCTTAAAATGTGAAATTGAAAACAAATCTATTTCAAAAAACACACTGCGGTCAGGATCTCTTCGTTGCTTACCTGGAATAAATAACACATCTCCTGCTTCCAGAAAACATTGATAGTGCTTGGCTTTCACAAAAAGGGGGTATTTCTCTAAGTCTGGGTTATCCACATCCAGCACCTCCGACTTAGTGCCTAGGAAAGTTTTTACAAGCAATGAATAAACATTCCTACTCTTCCAACAGCTACAAAGCATTATCACATTGTTTGAAATGGCAGTTCTTGAATCAAGTTTAATACTGGTTTATTTTTCTAACTCTTCAAAAAACCAGGGAAACCTGATGGCATTCCTCATTTACTGAAGAGACATGTTCTCCTGCTGTCTATATTTCTCCTGTAACACTAGAAGACACTTTCTCTGACATTTAAAATACCATTTTGAATCCAGACAGAACACTGTACTCCTCCACAGTTAGGTGCTGAAAACAGAACCAGGCAAAGCTGCTGTGCTACTTTACAGTTTTTCTAATCCCTACAATGGTTAGCATTGACTAATGCAAACAGGATCAGAGTTAGGGGACCCAATGACTTCTTTTACATCAATATGTCTGTTAGTGACTTCTTTCTTTCACAGTGCAATGCTTGTGAGCTGGAAAGGCAACTTTGATCACCAGAATCTGAACTAGATAGATATGACACGCATACCTGATAAATATAAATATGGTGCATCTCGAGGGCTATACAAAGCAACTCGTTTTTTCCCTGTTACTTGGATTAAGAAGTTATCCATGACCTGGAATAAGCATAGTAAGAGAGATGTCAGCCAAGAGTTAAGAATGAATACTTAGCCTGCCACTAATCTAAAATATCAGCTTAGAAGAGGGAATTATAAAAACTTTCACATGCTGGAATTAGCTAAAACAGCTTCCACACATAGTTAATCAAAAAACCCTCAAGAATATAAGTCTCGTTATCCCTTTGGCTGCACGTTCTTGACAATTAGTACATCTGGAAACACAATACTGCTTTCCAACAACTTTGGGGTTTTCCTTAATTAGGAATTGAGATCTTTCATCTTAAAACACAAAGACATACCATACTTTAGACATATAAACCAGCAAAATTTCATACAAGCTATATTTAAGATTCCTTTCCTTTTCCAGTATTACCCCTATCTCATTTTGCTGATGTTCTATTGACAAAGGATTCTTTTTCATGACTATTTCAGATTTTTAACTGACTGAAAACAGTAAAAAAAAAAAAAAGGGGGGGGGAAGACGCAAAATCAAACATATTTGCAAGTATGGAATTAGACAAAAACCAGTAAGATATCATGACTACACAATACATCTATTTCAATTCACTGTACCACTGCATTGATTCATTTCACTATTTAGAAACATGTGAAGTCTATCATTAACTGAATTTTGTCAGATATTTGCACTTTGATATCTCAATTCATAATGCCATCTGTAACATTTAATGTTAAGCACATACAGTACCTACATCATAATGTGTCCACAACTGCAATCCAGCTGAGCTGATGCGGAAGACGCTAGAGAAAAACTGTTCCTTCTCAAAATACTCTGGAATCTGAATATCTTCTGCCAAAGTAGGAAACTGCTTTCTGATATCTGCAATATCCTGAAATAAAAAGGATACAACTCTTATAGAACCATATATGCACATTAAAATAAGGGAGCACTTCACTATCATTTCTCATCATATGAAACACGGGGCTACATCTTCAGCCTTGGTGTATAGCTGAAAAGAGCAATGTCTTTTGGTGGTCACCCTTCCAGCCTTGACTTGGTCAACAATATTAGTAAGAATAGCCAGAGAGCTGCTTTGGGCCATCGCTGCTAGAAGTCACACTGAAGAAGCAAGAGATCATCAGAAATCCTTTTATATTAGTTAACAAGAAAAGCTAAAGAATGGGAGGTGAAGAATGTACTCTTCAGTGATCAGCTAAGCTCTCGTACAACAGCAACTATTTTAGACACTTAGGTTTAAATATTCTGACCTAAATCCAGTCAGAATCACAGGCCAAGTGACCATAACCAAGTTGTATTTCTATACTACACAGCTAGAGGGTGACAGCAGGATTTTAAAAATACTCTGTGACTTTACAGTACTAGAACTTTAATTTCAAGTAACTCACCTTCCTAACATCTTCACCCACTGATCGCAAATAGTACTTTTCATCCTGAAGAGAACACAAAGAAAATTGGTTAGGTTTTAGAATAAGAATTAAAAACCCATTAGAAAACTCTGTATTTTCTCATTAATGCAGGGCTTCATTAAAAAATTATATAAATAAATGGCATTTATAAATTCAGCTACTTTGTTGTACTGCCTTTACTCTACTGATCCCTGCTGTTCATCTCGAAAAATGGGGAAAATATGTTAGAGTAGAAGAGTAAAGTGGTGGGAGACTTGTCAACTGCTTCAGCATTGCTGTTACTGAACAGACTCAAAGCAAATGAAGATTGTAATTTAAGTTCTTCACAATACTGACGCAGGAAGCTATTTCAATTGGTTTCAAAACTTACAGCACACTACCTAGCATAAAAGGTAAAAAGTATATCTGCATTCAAAACTGTTTGCTTCCTAATCACAGTTCTCTGAAAATCCCTCTATCCCTCTGATACATGAAGATAGTCACAAAACCACTACTCACAAATTATATTACATTACAATTAATCAGTATTTGTATTTTGATACCAAACGTAATCACATGCTAAAATATCTTCACAACATTTTCTTGCAAATGATACAGTTGTTATTCTAAACCAAGGTTTGATTTCTAACTTTTATGCTGGAATATTTGCTCATGCAAGCAGTTTCTGTTAACAGAAACAGGATGTCTGAAGTTAACCATACTGTACATATATAAAACAACTTCTTATAAAAATACTTTTCCCCATACTACTTCTCTTGGCTCCAAGCCACACAAAACACTTAAATCTAAGATCAAGTGCTTTACTGGAGTAAGACTTTAATTTACAATTCATCATTTTCTCTTCCATATACTGGCAAAATAACCAACAGAAGAAACCGTGACACTAAGGAAATTACCTCAGAAAGAAAGTACTCCTTGTGGTTGACTTCAGCTGCTCTTCGTACAAATACATCAAAAGGCAAAGATCTGAAATACAAATATTTACATTTATACAATGAATCAATGAAACAACACATGGCCTATAAATGTCAGGTTTAAAATCATAAACTGAAGATTTAATATGCTGCTTTTTTTTTTTCCAATTTATTTAACATGGTAACCATGGCAGGGGGGCTGGAACTATATGATCTTGAGGTCCTTTCCAACCCTAACTATTCTATGATTCTATGAATAATCAGTGTTTGCAGTGGATGTTCAAAGAGTTCTACTGAGACAGAAATCCTACATTTACAAACCACTGTTTTAGTAAACTGTTCCCATGTATCCCAACAGAATCACCAATTTGCTGAGGCTGGAAGGAACCTCTGGAGACCCTCCAGGCCAAGTCCATGAATTTATTAAACATAACTTCAAAAGATTCAAAAAGAAGCACTGGGCATTAGAGCCTGTCCCTCTGAAATTAATAGAAACATTACATATTTATTTAAATAATGGGAGCTTTCCAAATGATTACAGATTTTGGCATCAGTTGGTAGCTGAATGGCAAACCAAGCACAAGTAGTAATAGGACATACATTCATTGTTATGAATTCAATGTTAGGTTCATTTAACTCACCATCTCACATTGTCACTGGATAATGAATAGACTGTATGTAAACATCACATTTCAAGCAACCACCAAGTACCCAGGATTAAGAAGAAACTATCCTTAAGCAAAATCTTTTGTGATCTTTTTATCCCTCTACCAGAATGTGACCTGCAACTGACAGTACTTAGAACACTTCTTTAAACATTTTAGACTTGTCTATAAAAGTCAAATACAACAACTACAGTTAGTGGAAAAACAAACAAAACCCAAACTCTGACTTCAGTTGAACTGTTAATTATCATGCCATTTATACTTGCTCCTGAAGAAAGTGACAACACAGCTCTACAACAGCTTAAACTGATGCACGCTGGTGCTGCCAGAGCTCTGCCCTTGCTGTTTACCCTAATCATCCAATCTTCTCCCTTATGCTAGCACTGGCACTCATCTGACCTGATGGTGAACCTGCTTGCAAAGCTAAACCAGCAGAAAACCATTCAGATTTCTGTAGCACATCACAACCTGACTGAATGAGCTCCAGAATCAACACAAAGACAGGGGTAGAAGCATACAACTTACTGCAGTACTACTCATGTGCCTCAGTTTAAACTCATGAAACTACACGTTAAGTCTTATGTTTCTACTCTTTTATTTCTACTTATTCTCCCCTCATATTAGAATGAGGGACTTGCTGTGGAAAGGGTCAAAGCTTCCTGAATTTCAAGTGCAGTAGCTGAAACTTTATAACGAAGTACCATCACAGCACCTCTATACAACTCTCTACAAACCTGCTAAAATTAGTATGCCAGAGCAACTGCATGTGAATTCACAGTAAAAGGTATTATGAAAAGAAACAAAATAAAGCAGGGAAATAAAAATCTGATGATAAGGCAAAATCATTCAAGTATGAGCTAATCTAAAAGACTCAACATTTCTTTATGCAGTAAGCAGAATATAGCATAAGGTAGGGTTTTTTCCTCTGAATAACAGGCTCCACTCATAGAGACTTGTAGCTTGTTTACACTTACAGCATATGCTTCTGCCTGCTTAAGAGCTGACTGAACACATCTTGCTCCCACTTAAGGAAAACAAATGAGAAGCAAAATAAAGGCATTTTCCCTTGAAGAACAACACAGTGACTGAGATTAGATGAACACTGAAAAAATGTTTTGGCAGCTACATGAGAGGAACTTCAGAGGAGACCAAGAGTTTATGTGACCCACATCAAGATTAAAGAGCTGGTGAAACGTGTGGCATCCAGTAGTTTGAACACTGTGAGAACTGCACTGCTAACTTTGAAAGGAGCTTTGTTTTAATCAGTAACATCCCTCCTAGCATGGAATAGCAAGCCTGCCACATGCCAGCATTCAAAGAGGTTCAGACACATGATGAGTCAGAAACTAGCCCTACTCAGTAACACTGAAAACACACCATATAACCAGAACAAAATAGCAGATCAGGGTATTCATAGAATCAATAGTAGCAAGGGGGGTTGGTTTGCTATTCTTACCAATGCCAGATTATGCCAGGCTCAAATATCCTACCAGAGTGCTCTGTCAAAATATCTTTATAACACTTCTTTGTGCCATTACTTTTAAGGCCCTGTTTGGCCCCTTCTTTCACCATTGTAGTACTTATTCAGGGTTTTGAGATGTTTGCGAAATGAAGAGGGGGAAGTCAAGGACAGCACTTCGATACATAATTTAAAGTTTTCACAAAGTATCTTCATGCTCTCACCCTTAGCTTCAAACAGATGCACTGTATGTCTGCAAGTTACAAGCACATAACTTTAAAATACAAGAGGCCTTGGAACAAAGTACCTATACACAAAGTTCTTACTGAGGAAATCCATCTGTGGCACTGCAGAAACATGAATCTTCACTTCTTTAGATCCTACGGCTTGGCTCAAGTAATCTACTGTCCATTTGGTTGTGCAAGCTCCCAGTTCCATCCCTTTCAGCACTACTGGCTTTCTCTAGTAAACAAAAAACATAAAAAAAATCAATGGTGAAATAATTGCAGTGACCCAAAATCACAAAAAACCCAGAATTAATTTTTCAAACCAAGTACACACAAACAATCCAGTTGAATACCAGGACCCATTACACAAAGTCATAACTGATGTGTTCACACACAACCAATGTGAAACAGAATGCTGAATGTTGAAACAAAATGCAGTAGATAGTGGGGTTCTTTCTCTATTTACTATTCTCTTTCTTAGCAGGGTAAGGAAAGACTTGGAGGGGCAAAGATAATTTTAACACACACCTTGTGCTGGGCCATTAAGGAATCTAGCTGGACTAAGGAATAGCTTTAGTCAGTCTAGCCCATTCTTAGCAGAAAACAGACAAAAGAGACCACACAGTTAAAATCATAGAATCAAGTAAGTTGGAAAAGACCTTTAAGATCATCAAGTCCAACCTTTACCCCAGGACTACCAAGACCACCACTAAACCAGGTAGCTGAGGTCCTCATCTACACCATTTCTGAGCACTTCCAGGGACGGCGATTCCACCACTTCCCTGGGCAGCCTGTTCCAATGCCTAATCATCCTCTCTGTGAAGAAATCTTTTTTAATATCCAATCTAAAGTCCCCTGGCACAGCTTGAGGCCGTCACCTCTTGTCCTACCACTTGTTACTTGGGAGAGGAGACCATCCCCCACCTCACCATAACCTCCTTTCTGGTAGCTGTAGAGAGCGATAAGGTCCCCCCTTGAGCTTTCTCTTCTCCAGACTAAACACTCCCAGTTCCCTCAGCCACTCCTCATAACAGCTGTGCTCTAAGGTGTACAGCGTGTGTTATGGTAGTGCTCTATGTTGTTATGAAAGAAGTTCTTTCCACCAAGGTTCCTTGACACTGACAGCCACAAGCAGGTTTGATGCAGCGCACGCAATAAAAAACAGGAAGAGACACCTTTGCTTTGAATTGGGATCTTGGAGAATAAACAGGAAGCAGCGATAACAAAGCAACAAAACCAGCAATCACACCTTTTTTTTTTTTTAACTACTGCTAAAGGAAACGAGCTCAGAGAGCGAGCAGTTGTCAGAACTTGTTAACAGTTTATCTGGCCGCTAAACTCACATTCATCCTAATGGCTCCTCAGGAAAACACGTAAACCCGAAGCCTGCGGTCTGCCTGCACTAACTGCCAGGTGAAGGGTTGCCACAGGAAACCCCCAGTCTTTCCTCCCCTTCCTTCCCCGCACAGTCCGAGCTTGCTCCCGCAGGCCCACAACACCCAGCCTGCGCCCGCGGACCCGGCGGCTCGTCTGGGCTTGCGGAGCGGCTCCGGGCCGTACCCGGGGGTAGATGTCGCTGAGGAACCGCTCCCGCGTGACGCCGCTCAGCCGCTCCACCGGCACCACCGGCCGCTGCCGCCGCTCCATGGCTGCTCCCGAGACACACATCCGCGTCCGCCTTCCGCAGCTGCCCCCCGGAAAGAAGAGCTCGCGCAGAAACGTTCCTCGCCTCCCTTCCCACACGCACCGCTAGGCAAGGGCGGCAGAGCCGGCGGGTCCCACCGTGACTCTGTGCTTCTCTAGGCCAACACGCTCGGAACCGCCGATCACCCAAACCAGCGCCAGCTCCGGAGCGAGCCCCACTGGGAGGGAACCGGTGGCGGCGGCTCTTGTTTCCCGCGGAGCGGGAGTTCCGACCGGACGGGGCGGTGGGACGGCAGCGGCCATCATGGCGCTGCGCGCGGCTACGGGCCGCTGTCGGTGGCTCGCGCGCGCGCTGGCGGCGCCGGGTCCGGCCCGCGTCCCCCCGATGCCGCCACTATCACCGCCCGCCGCTGCTGCCGCATCGGGCCTGCTCCGGGCCCGCGCCCGGTTCGCCAGCACCGCCGGGCAGGGTCCGGAGGGCGAGCGTCTTCAGCGGCGGGTGGTGGTGGTGAGGATCACCAGCCCCTTCGCCTGGCTCCGCACCCGCTTCTATTACCTCCTCATCAGGCTTTACTTCGATCAGGAGTTCAGCATCGAAGAGTTCACGCGGGGAGCCAAGCAGGTGAGCGGCGGGCTGCGAGGCGCGGACACCGGGCCCGGCGCGATGCTGTGGGAAGGGGGAGCAGGAGGGCTGGCCGGCATGCTTGCCTGCCCGCCTGCCTGCCTGTGGGGAGGAGTGCCCAGTGGTCGTCGGAGGTGGGCGTTCTTCAGACTTTTCCTATTTTCTTTCCCAAATTCCAGCATTAAAATGAGCTGGTTGAGCCCATTCCGCAGAGTAGTATGAAGGAACATGTTGCCCAGTGTTTCGAAGACTTTAAGGGGAAGCGTGTCTCCTTTTAGCTGGTTTCCCAAAATGACAACGCTTAGGCAGGTGTAGAGTTGGTGCTACTGGGGAAAGTCTGAGAGAACTGGATTTGTTCAGCGTTGAGAGAAGGAGGCTCCACGGAGACCTTATCACCATGTTCCAGTATTTAAAGGGTAGCTACAAAGATGGAGACTCCCTTTTTTACAAGGAGTCACATGGAAAAGATGAAGGGTAACAGGCATAAGTTACTCCTGGGGAGATTCCAAGTGGGCACCTGAGGAAAAATTTTCACAATGCAGACAATGACCCATTGGAATCTCCCTAGGGAAGTTGTGGACTCCCTAGTATTGGACACTTTTAAGATGCAGCTGCACACAGGGTGCTGGGACATCTAGTCTGGGTCGTGCTTTGCATAGAAGGGTTGGACCAGATGATCCTTGAGGGCCCTTGCAACCTGGTACTCTATGAGTCTATGATAGATTTGTTTCTTAAAATTTACGAACTCAGTAAGCATTGTCAACAGTGTGTGTCAAAGGGTAGGTAATCTCAAAGCTAATAACATAAAACATACAGTGTAACCTCTGTCAAGCTTCAATTATTGCATTTAATGTTAAAGAACAAACAGAAAATGTTAGCTTGAAACAACCCCCCCAGGGGGTAGGGCACAGAACATTAAAATGCTTGGGAACAATTCAAGAGAGACAAAAAAACCCTACACCAAATTAGGTGCTATGCATGCAGAATCACCCGATTTATCTTGCCCTGGGTTTGTTTGTACTTGCTGCAGAGTCCTAAACACTGTGTCTGCGTTTCATATGTAGCCTTTTTTAATATATGGAGGCATTATTATGTGCAAATGCCTGTGAAGTCAAGGAGGAAATGGGAATTTAGTTTCCTGAAGTGTAAAGACTAAACCAGGTTTATGAAGAAATTTTATAAAACTACAGCTTCTGTTATGACTGAAACCAGGAGAAAAGCTGAGAAAAGGGGCAGGGGAACAAAATGGGGAAAGATATAGACTCTTTGAATTTCCAAAACCGATAAAACCAGCTTATATAGATTACTGTATGTAATGCCTTTTTTGTTTGTGTTTTTTTTTTTTTTTTTAAAGTTACGCATTCAGGTGCCTGTTGTCAAAAGTTTTAAGGCTTTAAATGAGAGAATGAAAAGAAACCATGTTTTTATCAGTTCATAGAATCACTCTTTTAGTGCTGCAGGGTTTCCATTTCAGTGGTGATGCACTCTGCAAACATTGAAATCTTAAATCTTGGAATATTTGGGTAACTTGTCACATAATGATAGATCTGCCTGAAATAAGACAGCTTAATGTTGTTTGTTCTTCTCATTTTCTCTCTTTCTACCTTTTTTCTTTTTGGTAGGCCTTTTCTGTTGTTTCAAAGCTGCTGTCTCAGCGTAAACTTGAGCTGCTGGATGAACTTGTATCAGCAGAGGTAAATGCTTTCCATGTCTCACTCTAGCCATTGATTTTTCCATTATCAAGTAACATACATTTAGCCTGTCATTATCTACAAATGCTGCCAGTTTGGTTTGATTGGGGAAAAACTGCATAATGCTGAGCTAAGCGATTGTTTGTCCTGTAGCTTTTTTAATGTTCAATTTCAAGGCATGAAACTTAATTTAAAGTTACTATATTAAAAAAAAAATTAAAAATTCTTGCTGTGGAGGGTAAGCACCAATTGCCAGAAAGATTGCTGGTGTACCAGAAAGGGTTGTAAGGCAGTGGGTTCTGGATTTCGGATGGCATTAGATACCTCTGTTGGTGTAGGCAGAGAGCTGACGCTTTGCTCATCCATGCTGCACTAATCCATTCCTACCCCCAGGCAGACCATACAGCCATTTACTGGCTTCAACTGGAAGGCATCTGTCTTGTGTCATGGTCTCAGGGGTGTGGCTGGCCTGGCTGGTTAAACATCGGTGTTCTTTGTTTTGTGTTTTTGTGAGTTTTTAATGGCTGAAGTTGTCTGGGCCTTCCCAGGGGATGGAGGTAGCAGATGCATCATAGTTAGGAGAGAAGATACTTTAGACCTATGTTTGCCTTATTACTGGGGGGTGTCAGCTTGGCCTGCCCTATTGCCACCCATGCCTTTGCAGCAAAATAATTTGGTGCTGTTGTACTGCATCCTCACTGGACAATCATACCTTCTCTCTCTGAGCAGATAGTCATAAAATGTGAGTTTGTTTACTACAGTCGGCTTCGAAAAGCATCTCCTCTTCTTCTGCAAATTCTTTCAGTGATCATGTCTCATCGAGAGACCTAATTTAACCAGAGCAATGTAATGGATGAGGCTGTGATACCATGTTACTTTGTTGTTGCTTTGGCCAGTGAATTTTATACCTGCACAATGTACTAGAAATCAGTGTCTTCTAGTGAAGATTGTCTCTTGCTTCCATGTGACCTCTGGATTTCTTTGTTATTCAGAAATGGCAATTCTAGTTAGGCTAAAAACTGAGTATGAGTTAAAAAGAAGTGCTGCACAGTTTCATCCTTCCTTATCACATGTTCTTTTCAAGGTGTTTGAGGTGACGCCTATATTCAGTGTGTGCACCACAGTCTTTTTCTACTTAACACAGCTGTGTAGGTCTTAGGATGCCCATATACTATGTCTGGGAATGCGGTATGGAACTTAAGTCCCAGAGCAATGATTTTTCAGTCTTTCCTGATTTGCAAATGTCTAAAGTTTTTCTAATTGGAATGTGGATCACAAAATGGCAAAGACGAGCTTAGTGGTAATGGAACTGATTTGTGAAAAGTAATTAAGAAATTAATCGAAAGCTAAAGAATAAACGCATAGTGAGAAATCAGCAGTGAGAAGACAGAGTGTAAGCAAGATTGTAGAACTGGTGTTTTCTGGGCTTACAGGCCTTGCAACTTCTGTTTTGTCAGTACCTTTTCTAGACCTTTTTAAAAAATACTTAGTTTTCATTGATGTGAGCAGTAAAAGGATCTTCCTTAATATCACCAAATTAGGGGTTTTAGGAGTGCCCAAACTTCCCAGTTTTTTTTCACTTTTGTTGTTGTATATATTACACAATACAGATCATTTTATTAACTGCAGTTGAAAGGATTGTTACTTCAATTTCCTAATGAAAAACTAAGTGACAGTTTTTCTGAATTTAGGTACTTCAGGTGCTGAAGGAAAAGATTTCTTTGCTCCCTGACAGCCACAGGGATGCTTTAGCAGCTGACATTGATTCAATCATGTACACAACAGAAGGAGATGTTCGCATTTACTATGATGATGATGGTATGTTTAGAATTCTAAACCATTTCAGCAATGGGCAGTCTTATTTCCTGATTTTGCTACTAAGCAGGTATTCTTACAGATGTGGTTTTGAGTACTGTTTCTCGTTCCCTGTTTTTCTGTTTGTAGTTCATCTATTTGCCCCATCCCTGGCAGTGTTCAAGGACAGGCTGGATGGGGCTTTGAGCAGTCTGGGCAACTGGAAAGTGTCCTGTCCATGGCATGGAGGTTGGAACTAGGTGATCTTTAAGGTCCCTTTCAGCCCAAACCATTCTATGATTTTGTATACAGTTCCTTGATTTCCTTTTAAATCAGAAACTGAGAGATTATTGCTAGTAAGTCGTGGTACCGTTTTGACTTCTGTTTAGGTTTTGCTTATTCCTCTTTTGTAATTTCAGATTTTTCATATTATTAGTCCTTAGCAATCTCAAACCACTTAAAACCAATTATTTTACTGTGTGCAGAAAGCTGTTTGCTTCAGCAATGAAAATACATCTGGCAAGAAGAATAGTGAAGGCTGAACAATGAAATAAATTTTGCTGTCCTCACTTCTATTCTAGTTGCATGGAATACACTTTATTCTGGACTTTTGAAGCTAGTGATGAGCTCAAATAATTTTTTCTTTGGGTTGAACTCCAGCATTAAGAGCTCAGGTCACTATCAGACACAGTAGAGACAGTTTGTAGTCTAACCATGGGTCTTCCAATGAGCATTTAAAATTGCTAGACCAGTGAAATTTTTTCCTTTTTTGGGACATAGGGATTTTCTTTTTTTTATTTCTCCTAGATTGCTCCTGAGTTTCAACTACTCTCATACTTCCATAGTATCAGTAGTTGGCTTTGGGCTTTGGTAACTAGCTTTTTTCACACAGTTTGATTACGTACGTTATCACATGATACTCGTGATAAAATACATGCCTTTCTACAGAGTACATTTTTATTGTTGCTAAACAGCATGAATATGATTTTAATTAGCTTTATCATTTATTATTCTATCATGCATTCTTCATGGCTGAAGTCAGCTGCCCTTCCAGGGTCTCACTAGAATATATGCTAGGTAACAGGAGTATTTGACCAATGAGAAACATAAGATCTTACCTTATGCTTTGATTTATTTCCAACAGGAAGAAAGTTTGTTAGTATCTTGATGTGTTTCTGGTATCTGAATGGTGCTAACCTACCTGACAAAGTACCAGGTGAAACCAAAGTTTTCCAGATTGTGTTTGGAGATGAAAGTTCAAAAGAAAAAAAGCATCTTTTAACAGCAAACTATGAGTAAGTTTACTTGTCCCTTTTTTTCTTCATGTACATGGGCTAGCTGCACGGAAAGCAGTTCAGGAACTGAAAGCATTCACACTGTGCCGGTGCAGGAACTTGTTATGGTTTAATTTGCCTTGATTCTAATCTTAAATTCTCATCCAGCTTTCCACTGCGCCATTTTTTTTTAAGTACCCCTTAAAGTCATTATGTTATTACCTTATTTCTGAGTTGACATTAGTGGGAACTCTATCAGGAAGAGCAGTAGTTGGAGCAGTGAATGAAGTTTCTGATCCTTTCCTGCAGCTCTCAGGAAATAGGCCAATATCAGTCCTTGTTTTCCATCTCTTAGAGCACAGCTAAGAGCAATGCAGTCAAGCCAAGCGGTCAGGTGTGGTGCTGTTGACTTGTCATTTCCCACACAAAAGTCAGAACTGGAGTTAGTTGAAAAAGTAGCTCATGAAGAGGAATTTATTTAGCTAAATGCTTTCTGCAGAAAGTTAGCACAAAGCAACATCACCTGGTGTTCAGATAGTTCATACCACTCTGATCCAAGTACTCAAAGAACACATTGTGTAGAGGAATTTTCATAGGACTGCTTGTAAATAATGTCTCTGTTAGTGTACTGATGTTGGAGCAGTGCAGAAATACCTGCACAGCTGGCAAAAGGTACTGAAAATAACATTATTAGGGGAGAAGTGAGGATTTTTGTGTGAGAAATGCAATATAGTCAATGACTTTAACACCCATGTTTGAAATGGTGTGAGACTGTGGGTCTAGTTGATGAGGAGCTCTGAAACAAAGGAAACATTCTGAGGACACCAGTGCTTTTTGCCTGGATGGACTTTTGTGGATCCATACTTTAGCTGAATTCAGAATCTTCCTTACATCTGGAGGCTTCTGAGGTTCCATTAACTTCAAGAGTCTACATAAAGCCCTAAATATCTTCCTAATCCCTAGCAGAAATATCTTTGCAAGTATGTGTTTCTTCTGCTATTAACAGTGCCAACCTAAATTCAAATTAGCAAAGATCCTGCAGGCCTTGGAAGCCTACTGTTAAGTATTTGGGTGTCTGGAGAAGACAGTTTCCAGTAGTGGATTTGCATGTAATTGCAGAGCACTGAGGTTATACTGCTTGTGTCGACAATGTGCAGGTTACTTGGAGCATGAATATTCAGCTTGAAGTTCAGACCTATCTTTAGATGGCCAGCAATCAAAACTGACATGCTCAGGGAGGGAGATATTATGACTACAAAAGGAAGAAGACTGTATGAAAAGAGGGTTTCATTTTCCTAGTAACAACTGTGAGATTCACTGAGACTGTTAACTTGATCTTCGATGTATTTCTGAAGACAATTTACTTTTAAACATGGTTCAGTAAAAATGAAAATGTTCGGGTAGAATGAATAGCATGTGATTTCCCTTTACAATGCAGTTGCCATCCCATTAAACCATTATTTAGAGATGAAGATCTGACACAATGCCATATTCATAGTTACTGCTATGAAAGCTGAGTGCTTTCTTGATAGCAGGGTCTTTACTATTGCTGCTTGATGCTGTCTGTGGGATCTCAACCAAAATACTCTGAACTCAGTGCACTCTGTTTCTTACTATAGAATTAATTTTGATACTCCATTTTGGGGCATAAGCATCAGAGTCTAAGGAGCTCTTACAGGAATAACTTTGAAGTAAAGTATTTCTTCACAATTTCTAGTTGGTATTAGTAGCTATTTAAGGATCAAGTAAATTTTAACAACTCTCCATTTACTGTCTTTCCTTTTGCAGGTTCCAAAGGGAATTTACAGATGGAGCAAAACCAGATTGGACAATTACACGGATTGAACATCCAAGGCTATTAGAATAAATGCCTTCTACAGTCTTTTTGTGTACCACTGTAGATGTTAGGTCTCTCTTCCCCCACCCCCCCTTCCCATCCGAAAGAGGGATGAATTTTGTATGTTTCATTTCCCCAAATTGTTCCTGAAACTTATTCTATGCTGCAGCATTACAATAAAGCCTTTTCCCTGGAGCAGGCTAGTACAAGTTTAATTGGTACTGATGCTCATCCAAGGCATTTACACAGCACAGTTTCACACAGGCCAATATTACGGGTATGTTGACTTCTTACATCATGAGAAGAAATGGTTCTACTTGAAGATAAACAACAGTTTTTTGGCTGATGGCCCCTCTGAGTTATTTTCCTATGTTTCTTTTTTCCCTAGGGACTGTACAATATATAACTGAATAATATGCCAGATGAAATAGAGGTAGATGGACTTCTTAGATTGTCTAGCCTCAGCAGTTCATTTTGAGATAATCTTGCTTTTGAATACATTTGAGATTAAAGAAGTTGGTGCCATTATCAGTACTTGGTATAGGACTGGAGTAAGAGAAAACTTCCAGCATTTCACCAGGAAGATGAATCAATCTGATACGTATATTTTGAAAAATAAAACCAACATTCCTTTCAATTCAGTAACATACAGGCAAGCTTAGAGATTTATGAAGGAAAAAGTAGTCAAAAACATGAATTTAAAAGAGCTACCGGACAGTGAATCTAAATAAACTCCCCTGAAATGCTTGTTGAAGAAATGAGCAAATCATTTAATGTTGCAACTGAACTATTTCCCGATTCTCAGATTATGTCTGTTACTGGCATGTTACAGGTGAGGGTAGTAGTTTTTACATGCAGGTCAACAGGAGATCATCATAACAGTTTCTTTTCTTCACTATCTCAACTTTAAAGATATAGCTAACTTTCTACCCAGGCATGTTATAGAGATCTGTGCAGTGTTTTGAAAGCATGAAGTATAGTTGCTGTGATTCACAGTAGTGATTGAAAGGTATAAGTTAAATTTACATGGCTCAGCTCTTTTGATACAGTGATTTGACGAGAAGAATGTTTTAACATTTATCAACAAGGCTTTTTATGTCTAATCTTGGCAAAATAATTATGGTATTTTGTTCTGCCTTAGCAGCAGCCTGGCCTTACAACGGAGAGTTCGTGATCTGTCCTCTGCACAAAGTTCAGTGATGACAGAGGTCCTTGTCTTCAGGGGAGAAACAAAATGCTGTATTTAAAATTATATATAGCCATTTTGTATGCAGTCAATCTGGAAAAGTTTGAGGCAAAGTGAAAGATATTTATTATTCTGTGGACCATTTGCTGGAGTGATGCTAGCAAGCATGTCCAGTGTGGCTACTGAATGATGTGCTGCAAGAAGCTGCTATCGGATGTATTTCTTTGACATAGCAACAGGAGAAACAAGCAGAACACTAGTGAAGTGTGTAGATGCACTTCTAGAAGAAGTCATTATGGAGCAAAAGAAGATAAAAGCCAGCAAAGCCATCTTTGTATTCAGGAGTGTCTGCTTTCACATTTAAGTAGTGGAAGTCTATCTAGAAATGGTGCTAAACTGTCATTTTTAATTTAGGTTACTTTAGTAGTATCTTTTCTGTTTGATAGATCTATCAAAATGGGAGTCTGTCATGACTGATAAGGGATTACCCTTTTACTAGCGAGTGCTCCATTTTTGGAAGCGAAGGCGGGGTAGACCCTTCTATATAACTAATAATGAAAAATGTTTGTTTTGTTCACTGTAAAATTGTGGCTTGGTATGAACATGCTCCAAACCCAACCTGGAAGGAAGGGACAGATATGCATCTTAAAGAATCGAAGTTTACAGGAAGGTTTGAATCTGTTTTACCTGACATCTCTACATAAATCCTCTTTCATAAATCTCATCATCATAGCGGTTAATGAGACTAAAGCGAAAGTCAGTGAAGGGCCTTTGTCATCTTACGGTATCCATGTTTTCTCTTGTGGAAATACTTTTCTTCCATGTTACTTGATCAGGCAAAACAGGATTTTACAGTTTCTATGTTGCTACTCAAAAGTATTTCCCCAAACTTGCTGTTATTTAAGATAAGAAATGTATTTAGTGTCTTCAAGCTAGTTTCTAGTGAGTACATTTCTATATCAAGTTTGTCCCAAATTCTCATGGAAAAAATGATGAATAAAGGGTTAAGTTTGCTTCATCTTGATCTAAGAAAAATATGGAGGAGAGTATAGTCTTGTAATTTGGGGATGGCCATAATACTAACTTAAGTGTTACAGAATTTTTAAAGAACTAAAGGAAGTGTTTATTAGAAACATCTTCACAATTTGGGAATAATAATGCTGAACAGGGAACAGTAGAACAATGTGGGGGTCTCTGTCACAGCATGCTAGCGCTCCTGCTTTCTGTAGCTGATTTGTCTCAGACATCACAGTGTGTAAGGATTTGGGTGTGATTTATATCCTTTTTGTCTCCTTGCCTGACTTCCACTTCTGCTGCTTTTAAGTCAAGGGGACAAGTACAATTGTAATCATGGTGTAGTGGCTCTAAATCCGCATACATACCCATCTAAAATATTTGCAGTTTTAGCCCAGTAATTCTTAGAAACAGTGTCACCAGGTTTGGTAGTGATTTTCAGGGTAGAATTCATCTCTGTTAGGAACACTGACATTTCTAATTAATTTTACACAGAACGGTGAGGTCACCAAGTGTCTGGACTATGCTTAAAATGGAGATTGAAAGTACCACATTCTTCTCCCTGGGGTGAAATTACGTTTCTTTAGGTTCATGGGGAGTTTGGGAAGCCTTATTTTTTTATTTGTTCATCCAAAAGTATGGTCATGTTTACTAATTACTGACAGCTGCTTAGTACAGTTCCAGTGCATGTGTCTGAATCTCGACAAGCACGGATTAAATCTGGCCAACAAAACCCCCATTAATTTGCAAACCCTACTCACCAGTAGATGGCCTTGGTCACAAAGTTATTGTGGCTGGGAAGTGACTGGCATTAATGAGAGTGTAGAAGGAATAAAGAATGAAATGGTAGAGGCATTGATTCTCATTTAAGTGCTATTTCAATCATTTAGACTTGTCTTATTAAAAAGTCTTGATATTCTTACTGACTTTCATCCTGAGTCAATGATAGTGTCTCATGTACTCTCTGCAGTGTCTACCCATTTTGAAGTGGCAATTTAATACTGTCCTAATATGGGAAAGATGAGTTGTACATGTGAGTTCACACAGGTATTGCTTCTTTTCTCTCCTGACCCAGACTTGTCTGATTAATTCAGGAGCCACATTCAACTTTCTCCAGTTTTTAAGGCATGTTCAAGCTTGACCTTGCCTTCAGTTCAGGTTGTATTTAGTTAAATATTTTCAGGTCTTATGACTGGAAAGCTGCTTAGTAGTAAAAGTCATATTGTTTTTCCAGTAGCGATCATATTCCTTCAAAACTCCACAAGTCCAGTGCTTCTCTTTCTAGTTGCATGGTTAAACTCATTTCCTGCCCCATGTGCTTTGTTGGCTGCAGGTGGGGCCTTTGACATTCCTTATATGCTGTAGTCACATGATGGCTCCCAGCTTATATGAGATGGGATACAAGTGTGTGTAGTAGGAAGTGTTTTTAGATTCATTTCTCTCTTACAGATGGATGTAATAGTTGATAAGGAAGGTACTTAGCTGTTAAAGCAAGCGTTGCCTACACAGCTGTGGTTTTCTTCTTCTAAGGGAAAGGCAGCTGAGCTAAATGGAGCTGTACAGTGAGTACTCACTACAATAAGTCATAGGTTTTTTTTTTCATTGTCTTTTACACCCCCCCCCCCCTTTTCTCTTTCTCCCCATTGCTGATGTGCTTTGCTTTTGGGTTTTTACAGTCCTGCAAAATAGGATGAATGTTGAGCAGGTCACTGTGTACCCCTGCAGCATTGTTGAAAATACCCCCTTGTCACAACTCTCTTACGTATATTTTGTCTGAACTCAGTGATGTATGCTTTTCCTAGTATGAGGTTCTCCTATTGGAGTTGATGGGGAAATTGGAAAATGTCATGCATTTTAATGGGAGCAGACAGCAACTTTTTTGCTGCCTTTGAAGTTACTCTGTCAGAAATAGAAGCAAGCTAAAATTAGACATGCTGTAGTTTCTCTTTTCTGCATTTCCTCCCTCCTCTGCTGTCACAGAACAAAGCTTTTGATAGTGAACTTGGTCCTGTAGTGTTCAGGATCTGTGAGAGAAAGGAGCAAGACAAGCAAAGCAAAGTGCATGTGTAAGCAAGATCAGATCACAGTAGCATCAGGCTGTCAGGACAAGGTTGTCCATGTGGACAGATCTGCCTTTTTGGCATTGGAAATCTACCCCAGTTTGCTACTGATGCAGCTGGCAGAGGAGATGGCATTTCATCAAGGATGCAGTCATTTGTCTTAAGGACATGAAAGATTTGACACATATAGGGAAACAAGTGGTGACATGAATGGTCCTATAAATTATCTTTTGCGGTTGACAGTAACCTTTTACATAAAAAGCTATACTTCTACTCTGATTTGTGTATGAGGGAACAGTCTGAGTTTCCAAGATTCAAGCTGAAGTCCAACCTTAAATTTTACAGAGATTTCATAGTCTGATTGGGGAGGCATGGGAGAGGCTGCCCAGATAAAGCAGAGGTAAATCAGAGCAGCTACAGGCTGTCTCTGCCTTGCACTACTTAGCAGCTGGTGCATCTCTAGCAATCAGGAGTGAAACAGGGGAGGGAGGGAAATGCCTTGTTAATCCCTCCCTTCTGAACTTTCTGGAACTGCTTGGCAAGTGCAGCAATTGTGACGTAAGTACCAGCTGCCAAGCCTGGAAACAAGTTTCAGTGGTACACAGATTAAGTGGCTAGTGGCCTTGCTAAAGCCCATGGGTCTGTTAGAACAGCTGTTTCTGAGCTTGCTGGAGTGTTAACACTGCTTGAGGACCTTCATGCTTCTTATCTGCAGTACAGCCAGACAAGGTCATTACTTGTGATGTTATTTTTTGGTAATTTGTATCATTTTGTAAACTGAGAACTAATGAATGTAAATAATGGTTTGGGGGACTTAATGTGCTTTCAGAGGGAACAGGGTTGAGGGAGTGAAATACAAAGTGAAGAGCAAACTAATGAATTTGTGTAGTCCATAATGTGTCATGCAAGAAGGCATTGACCATTAAACAGGTGAG